TTTGGCCCCTATCCCTCTAAACCCTTCCTATCCATGTCCCCATCCAGATGCCTTTTAAATGTTGTAACTGTACCAGCCCCCACCCACTTCCTCTGGCAGCTCGTTCCATACACGCACCACCCTCTGTGTGAAAAAGTTACCCCTTTTAAATCTTTCCCTTCTCACCGTAAACCTATGCCCCTCTAGTTTTGGACAGCCCTACCCTAAAAACAAGACCTTGTCTATTCACCCTATCCTCATGATTTTATAAGGTCACCCCCTCAGCCTCCGACGCTCCGGGGAAAATAGCCCCAGCCTCTCCCTGTAGCTCAAACCCTCCAACATCCTTGTAAATCTTTTCTGACCCTTTCACAACATCCTTCCTGTAGCAAGGAGACCAGAATTGAACGCAGTATTCCAAAAGTGGCCCTAACCAATGTCCTGTACAGCCACAACATGACCCTCCCAACTCCCTATACTCAATGCACTGACCCATAAAGGCAAGCGTACCAAACACCTTCTTCACCGCCCTGTCTACCTGCGACTCCACTTTCAAGGAACTATGTACCTGCCCCCCAAGGTCTCTCTGTTCAGTGACACTCCCCAGGGCCCTACCGTTAATTGTGTAAGTCCTGCCCTTGTTTCTTTTACCAAAATGCTGCCCCTCGCATTTATCCAAATTAAACTCTGTCTGCTGCTCCTCAGCCCAATTGATCAAAATCACTTTGTAATCTTCGATAAACCTTCTTCACTGTCCACTGTCCCACCAATCTTAGTGTCAGCTACAAACGTACTAACCATACCTTCTTTATTCTCGTGCAAATCATTTATATCAATGACAAACAGCCGTGTTTCCAGCACTGACAGGGTCATAAGGAAAAGAGCCATTTACCCTGAGCCCAGAGGCTGAGCGTTGGAAGTTTTGGAGACAAGCCGTTGGAATCTGGGAAAACAGTGTCCTGAATTTCCTACGTCTTTGACCTTCACCTCTTCGAGGTCTCCGGGTCCAAGCAGTCAGCTGCATTTAGATAGTGCCTTACACCTCGTGGAACATCCCCTCTTTGGCTGCTGAGCGCAGGTCACTTTGTGCCTGGGTGGGGGTGGTTGGTGCGGCGAGGGTTTGAGAAATGCGAACGGGCCGTTCCTTTCTCTCTCTTTTTCTGTTTTCCGACGTTGGAACCTGCAGCCTTTTTTTTTTGTTTGTTCAAATTTGTTGTTGTTGTCTTCCCCACAGCAGATCGTGGAGGATGAACGGAGTGACCGAGACGAGACTGACAACTCCGAGGACGAAGACGATGAGGAGCCGGTCAAGAACGGCCTCATTTCTAATGGGCACTCCACGCTCAACAACAATCACACGAAGTCTGAGTAGTGCCTTGCCTATCTTGGGGTGGGTGGGTGAGTCCCAGAGTTCTCCTAGCCCGAGACTCCCATCCTCTCTTCCACCTTCTCCACCCCACCCCCATCGTCCTTGCCCCCTGCCCCCCCCCCCCCCCCAACCCCTGGGTTTGCTGAAACCGTTGCAGTAGGGGCAAGTCTATCAGCTGTGCCCGCTCTTGCCCCACCTCCTACCCCCATTAATCTACCCGCACTGGATCCCTCGTAGAGTAGGCATCTGCGAGTTGGGGGGGGGTGGAGGAGGGGACTGGATTCATTTTATTTCTTTCTGTTGGAGTAGGTCAGATTGTGCCTTTCGAATCAGTATTTTTAATTCCCTCTCCCCTCCCCTTCCCTTCCCCCCCCCCC